ACAATAACTTCACCTGCCATGAACTCTGTACCCGCGAGTTCAGCTGTTGCCAAGAAATCATCCAAGGCACTTTGTTCTGTGATGGACTGTAGACTAGGTCCTGCTTCATTGTCAACTTCACTGCTATGTAGCTAATGAGAAGAAGATTTAGACTTTCTATTAAGCAAAACTCAAGAAAATTTCTCCTCTTAAAAAAAAATGAAAATAGTCTTTAGAATCACTTGGCATTTATATTCATGTTCAGCTCAGCAGTGTGAATGTGTTAAGCAACGTCCTCGTATCGTTAGTAAAGAACAAGTTCATGTACTTCCAATCGAGGTTTAAAGCAGAGAAGACTGTTCAACCAAGTTGAAAAGTAGAATTTGAGAATATGTGATACAGAGCACAAAGGGAAAATATAACTTGAAAACTTCAAAACTTTGAAACTTCGCGTCGGTGGGAGAGTATAGCAGGTAATTTAGTGTTAACTACTGAGTTGAAAACGTAAATTGGCCACCGTTTTTACCCTTTACGGTAGCCAATTTACGTTTTCAACTCAGTTGTTAACACTAAATTACCTGAAAGATCACTTACCCAACTATTTGCGTGCTTGATATTCCCCCTACTCTTAGCACTTTGTTTTATGATACTCTTCCCCAAAGCGTTTTGGTTTTTCTTGCCCATTTGAATTAAAATAATAATTACAAAATCAGTTTCAGCCAACAACGAGGTATCATCGTTCTGCGACAGTCACATGCTGCCGCTGAATTCCAAATATTAATTCGTGTAAGCCTCCTGGAGGTTTCACATGTCCCAAACACACAGTGTAATGTTCGTTCCCAGTACTCTTCCCACGACACACGTGCAGGCATTACAATCACGGAGCAAGAATTTAGTGGAGCCCTTAAAGTTTCTGGGACTGTACTGTTATGGGAAGAAGAAAACTTTCGAGTAAGGGATCTACTCAAGAAAACCCACCGAAAAAGGGTCCTGGGAGGAAGGCAAAGAAGCAACCAGCGCCAAAGTTACCGAAACAGTTAGGTAAGCAAAGTAGCCATTCAATGTGATCCAGTAAGGAACAAAACAAAACCAAGCTAAATCTTCATCATCACGAAGTAGAAGTAGGGACTGATTTTGAAAGTTTAAAAGGACTTATGAGATGTGACATGGCCATTAGGTGTGGTTGTTTAAAATCTTGTGAACGATTGTAACGGAGCCCTTTAGGGACAATTTATGTTACTTCACGATTCATTTAGTCATTCAGAAACGAATTCTTCCAAAGCATCTCTTTCATAGCAATAAAACATACCAGGCCTAGGGCTTAAATCGGATCAACTTCAGAATACCCCGCAACTCATTTACATGTCATTTAATAAGAATAGCGTCTATTGTGTTATGCCTCGATCTTCAAAGCCTCCCGACACATGTAAGTGAGGCGGACCAAAGTTGCGGGGTATTCTGAAGTTTAGCCCTTAAATCATGAAACAGCGTAGATTTGTATTGTGATTCAAAGTTTCATTTTAGACTTAACAAGTGGATTCTTTTTTGCTAGATGCGTCTGTTCAGTGGTAGCTTACAAAATACCTCAAAATGTGGTATCAACAAATAAATGGCACACAAGGGGCAGTAGAGTAGGTCACTGCTGTTCTCATTGCATTTTGATATCTTCTGTAGTCTACTACTGAACAGACCCACAGCATTATGGAATCTATCTGTTTTATTAATGATAATTAAAGAGAAAAATGTTGTTAATAATGATGTCATCTACTTGTCTGTTCACTAATGCTAATGGATCATAGATAAGAACCATGCAAAGCATAGTTATAACCCAGTATACTTTTTTCTTATGTATTTATAGAAAAGACCTAACTAATAGCACTGGAGGGGTAGGTGCAATAAACATAGAAACAGAGTAGAGATAGGGGAGCAATCTCCTCAACAAATAGTTAAATGGGTTAAGTTTCTATAGAAACTATGTTGCTGTGCTAGTGGGGGTATTACAAGATGATCTAGCTTAATCAATTGAATCGACTACCCTGAAGAGATTCTAAAGCTGACATTTTTAGCAATAGCTCTTTATCAGAGTAAATATCCCCAGCAGAAAGGAGATCACCTTGGCAACCAAGTCATAGCCTACCTTCAGGCACTTGTCAACAAAACAACATCATATTGATGCATATAATTACCCACACACAACCCACAATTCCTCCAATCACTGTGAAGAAAGGCTAACATTGGAAATCTTGGCTTTTAGAGTCTTTTATGGTGGCCAATTTACATCGTGAACTCGTTGATAATACTAAATTACCCACTAACTCATCTGTTGAATGATGTACCGGTAATGTGCTTTAATTTATTGTGTATTCTCAAAGGACTTTGAACCCTACATCTAGCATCCTATTTCTTGTTACAATATCACTCCTGAATCACATATTTAGGTAAAGAGAATAGAGGAAATAGTCACCAACTTTAGAAGCTCTTGATTGTTGGACAAATTCTTCTCATCAGCATCTTAGGAAATGTGTAGAGAATGGCGTGGAGAATATGAAAGCTGATATTGGGTTGCAAAGGGTTTAAGGCCTCCTGGTCCTTTCAGAGAATGGACAAGTGCTTATGAGAAATAATAAGGCTTGTTTTGTTTAGAATATGAAAATAGCTCAAAATCTGTCTTCCTTTTTTAATTTGGTATGTGTGGCATGGGCTATCAGTACTTGGCTGAATTCAGAATTGCACTATAAAAAGTTCTCTTAATTGGCTGAGCTGTAGCTCCTAATCTATTCAATGGACTGGTTTATCATGTGCTGATATATCAACAATAAATATAGCAGCATTGTCAATGTGATTCCATCAACAGCAAAACCTTGCTCCCATAAACAAAATCCTTGAGTTGAGAAAGAAACTATCCAGGATTTTCTTAGCCCATCCTGTTACATTTGCACCTCAAAGGAGATTGTTGCACCACACTCAATTTTTACAACACTTATCTTCCATGCTAGACATGTGTGAAATCCTTTGAGAAAGTTGGCTTTTGAGCATTTAAAATATTTTGGTAAGAGCCTAAGAAACTACATCCTACCTCACTTGCAATGAAGTGTGGAAGAAAAATGTTATCAATTACTGATTAGCATGCTTTCTTAATTCAGATGGGAGCAATGTTCAGAATTCGAGGAAAAGGTGAGTTTTAGTACTATTTAAGAATGCTATTTGTTTGTGAAATGTATTAAAGTCAGTCATATATTAGCCAAAAATTTTACTTTTTACACATATCAGTCACCTGAAATGCCTGTATAAAAAAAAATTTGTGTCAAAATAATCATTCTTTTTTGCTTCATGTGATGGTATTCAATTGAGAGAAGAGTATAAGTATAAAATAATTTCAAATTGTCATTTTGCACTGAAACAGACTACATGTTGAATATTTGACAGCTGAAAATCTGCCTCATCATGTAGGGTATACTGCATCATGAACTTGCAGGTGTACATAGGAAATATTTTAATTTGTCAATCTTGAGTAGGGTTAGAGGTGTTAGGCAGGATCTAATACAAAAAAGAGCTGTGAATAAAGTAAAAAAAGGCTCCATGAAACTTTTACCTTGTGGCATGTAAAACTTAGGTGGTCAATTATTATTGTGCTCCAGTGGCCCTTTCCATTCTAACTTCAATAAAGGTCATATTTTTATTTATTTTTAGAAAGTTGAAACATCAGAGTGGAAGTGTGTCAGGGAAAAGCAAGGTAATAGTTGAAATAGTTCCAAGAGATCACTTCTGAGAATAACTATGCTTACCAGTAACTGGTAGTCTTTATTCATGAATATTGTTATCATCAGGAAACATTACAGTCCAGTACCAATCCTATTTTAATTTGTACATGTGTTTCCCTTTGTTCCTTGTACTTTGCAGAAAAAAAAGGAATAAAGTCAAAGTAGTTTGAATTCATTTTATGCCCAGATCATTAAAAGTCTCAATTTGATGTATTCTACAATATCATTTAAAATAAAGCAGGTAATTCTTTGTATGTCTGATTAAAGTAATAAGCACTGAACAACTGGCCCAGGGGGAAACAGTGAGAATTGTTTCCTTGGACCATCAATGTTGCCTGCTGGTATGCCTTGAGGAACGTGTTAGGTCTGGGGAAACAAAACCCACTGTTAGCCACGGGGTCAGTCATTAAGTGTTCTGTTATAACTCCTTACTTAAAAGAGGAGCAAGGTGAGGCATTTCGTGTTTTAACACTTGGCCTTGCAGAATTTCCTGAGAATTGGAGTTAAGGTCTGTTTTGTTTAGATCAGGAAAGCTTATGTCCAAATTTTGCTTTTTGCAGGAGTCTTTCAAAATTTACATGGCATTGTGGGTGTAGATTAGGAGCTTTTAACCCAGAGAAGCTGTTTAATTACTTAAGTTCTTGTTTGAAAAATTTTTGTGACCATGACTTCAAAAAAATTTTCTCTGTGTGGGCTGTAACACAAATTGGTGGGAGTTTCAAGGTGCCCAACTTCAGATCAGTTGTGAGTCAGTTGTTGTTTCCTGGGGAGTTAAATAAATGTGTTTTGACCATGGCTGGTAATTAACATAAGAGGGATGAGTGAAAAGTTGTGGTTGTCAGGGGAATGGCTGTGGAAAGAGAATATGTTTATCAGTGATAAAATAAGAAAAATTATCATCTTTTATCAGCTACAAAAAATAGCTACGAGATTCATGTCTTGCAAAAAAATAGAAAACCTGAAAATTATTTTGATACAAAGATTTAATGGCAATCTGCATGACAGGCTAAAAAATGTGCGAGAGAGTGGCTTGTTCATTTAAAGCTCCTAGTCCATAGCTATTGCTCCGTGTTTGAGAACATAAGGCTAAGGTAGAGGTTTTAAATCTACACACCTAATCCAAATCAGAGGGTTTTTGTCTTTGTGTCTTCTTTCTGCTGTCAAAAAGCCTGGCATGTCATGTGCAGACCACTTTGAAGCCTGCTACATAAAGTGGGTATACAAGTTGTAAGATATGGCTGGAACTGATTGCTTGGTTTTTTATAACTTTAATTTTTAAATTATTTCCAGTCTGAGGTGAAGAGCTCTAAGAAGGCAAGGTAGTGTACATTTATCTTATTTTTCAATCTTATTGAAAATTTCCTAGTCACGGTTTATCTGCATGTAATTCAGAGGTATTATTGTGTTATTTTCATCCCCTTGGGATCACCACAGATGGTGCAAGATACCAGAGCTTTAAAGGAAACTTAAACTTCACATATACACATATTTTGGGGTAAATTTCAAACTGTTTTTTTTTTTAAATAAGGCAGAGAATATACAGTATCTTAGAGCATGAAATGTATCATAGCAAAACAAACCATAGAGAATGTAACATGTCATGTCAATTTAACACTTACTAGTAAAAGACACATCTGAAAACTGCTTTGGAGCTCATCAACAGGTAATTGTGAAGAAGAGCTCCCCAAAAAACCTGTTGGCCAACTGTCGGTCAACTGTCGGCCGACAGTTGGCCCACAGTCGGCCGACAGTTGGTTGTCTGTCGGCCGACAGTTGGCCAACTGTTGGTCGTTTGTCGGCCGACAGTTGGCCAACAGATGGCCGACAGGTTTTGCTCGAAATATAGGCTACCTGTCGGCCAACAGTCAGCCGACTGTTGGTAATGTGGTTAACTCCCAATGCGGACAACAATTCCTGTCCTTTGCCCAGACAATACAACATTCTTTTTAACAAACATTCTTAGTTATCAGCATTTTTAATTTTTACTTTGTACTTCACACCTAGTATTTTTTACCTTTTTATCATTTTACCCGTTGAAGGCTGTAGCGCAAACAGCCGAAAACTCATATTCTTAAAAGTTTTAGCCAGAGATCGTTTTTTAAATTTCATAAGATGTTTTATCCTGGCTGCGGCCCCTCTGTCTTTTCACTTGAACGAAAGTGTTTGTATTGATACGTAGCTTATGGTTTTCAGAGTTTTTGGCCGAGTTTTCGATTAAATTATCTTCCAATGCGATTCTTAGATTGTCTCGTGTGTTGTAAATTACGCAAGTGATATATCCTATACACATCTGATAACAACATTTTGGAAGAAACGTTTCTTTACATACTTTCAACTTTGCCGTCAATCAGTAAGTAGGTGAAGTCTGTCGAGTCACATATCACCATTACGGATTGTTATGTCACGTTAACTGTTCGTTTTTAACACAATTTTTCTTTTTTCTTAACCTGTCAGTAACCTGTTGGTTAGCTGTCGGTAGACTGTCAGTAACCTGTCGGTCAACTGTCGGACAGTCGGCCGACAGGTTTTTTGGGGAGCTCTTCTTCACAATTACCCATCAACGTAGTCCCTCACTTGTACATTTTCATCAACAATGGATACTTAGGTTTGCTCAAGATAATTTTTTCACAACACAAATTATTTGGTGGACTGTAACTTCCAAACTCTTTTGTTGTCCCTTGAACCTCCTTAAAACAGACCTGTATGGTATTATTGTTCAAAACAGAGTCATGTTTTGTTATTGTGATTAAATACATGGATAATGAAGTATTAATATTTGTCTCAAAGGTTTGTCTGTATTTTGATCCATAAGTGGTGAATATTAATTGGTGCATGATCATTTGTATTTTTGATAGAATGAAACGATCTTTACCTGATGCTGAAGAGACACAGGAAGCTGAAGAATCAAGTGGTTTGTTTGTAACTAATGCTTTTTAATAAAATTGTATAGAGAAGAAGGTAAAAACTGGAAAGCATGCAGGCTTAGAAGATATGATCACAAGCAGTACTCCAAGTTGCAAGCAATTTAGTCACTATTCACCCAGTTTCTAAGCTATGGCTGTTCTTTTCATTTTCAGGTGAAGAATTTGTTAAGTTAAATATCAAGTCAAAGTAAGACACTAAGCTGTTAATCATGATTGTAGTGTCATCAAAATACGATTGCTGTTTTTTTTTTTTGTTTTCAATCAATTAGTTAAAATGATTATAGCTAGTGAACATTGTCCATGTTATTGAATGAATATTGTTTGTGTCAGGAATTATAACTTACTTTAAGTTATAATTGTTCAGTCCTTTTAGTGATAGCAATGCCAACTGGCTAAAACTTGCTAAGAAGGATGGGGAAGGTAGTGATGACCAGGATGATTTCATGGTAAGCACATGCTATAGGCACTTAAATTGATGATGTTTTGATCATTTGTAATTGGGCTATTGTAGTATACGTTGGTATGCTATTGATTGTACAAAGTCAGTATTTAACTACTATGGTGTGTTCTGCATCAACAAAATCTGAAGGTCCTGGATCTAGTTACCGGTACCACGATCAGTGAACAGTTCTCATGCTCCACTTCACCATTGGCTCTTGGCCACAATAGTGTATATTGTGGTGGTATATGATAGCCATTTTCACTAGATACGTCTCCTTCACCTCTGACACAAATTTGGACCCAATATAAGTTGCTAAACCAACCAACACACCATACCTTGCAAAATGGCTGTCAAGACATTTGATAATTGTAACATTTGTAGAAGGGAGCACATCTACTTCCATCCATCTTGATAGATAATCTACTTCAAATAGTGAGTGTTATCCTGTGGGTAAGGGCCCCAACAGATCTGCTGTGATCTCCTGCCAGGCTCTCTCTTGTGGGCTTAGTAGGAAGCTTACTTTGACACCAACTGACAACCAAAATATTCCCTATATTCCTACATTTCCTCTCTTCATCTTTGTTTTTGCTGGGCCACCAAACCTTTGTTCTCAACTGTCCGTTGGTTTTCATGATTCCCTGGTGACCTACATGGGCCAATTCTAGAACACTCTTCCACAGCTTTCTGGGAACCTTTCAACAGAACCTGGCCAATATAAGTTAAGTCACCACCTACTAGGGAAAAGGCTTTTGAAGCCTCACTCCAGTTACTAGTCTCCAAAGACTTGTGTGCAAGTGCTTTGCCGTCAAACAAAACTTCTTCAATTTCCTCAATCTTCAAGGCCAGAGGCTTTGCCTACAGTGGAACTGAAACACACATATTTTTAATCTGTAACATGTCCATTTGACGCATTTCAACGTTAATCATGAGACATCTTCAATATTATCTCTGGAAGTGATGTAATGAACTATGTAATTGTAGGGTTGTAATCTCAACACCCAATGTTTAATGGGAGTGGATGGCTTTGATCTGTGGCCATAGATGGTCTTTAATGCTTGATGGTCAGTCACTAATTCAAACTCTGGGAGGCCATACAAATGCAAATAAAATTACTGGCAGGCCCACCCAAGGGCTAGTGCTTCTTTCTCTGTTTGAGTCATTGTGTGTTGTATCTTGTACTAGGAAAGTATCAAGTGTAACTGGGCTGGTGTCCACAGTGACCTACGTGTGAGCTTTCTAGTTACAGTAGGCTAACATGGATGCTCCTGTCAGATCCCTTCTTAGCATGTTGAAAGTCTCCTTTTGTGCTTTCCCCCAGACACAGACAAATTTGTCTTCTTTCCAACAAAGAATTCTCAGGGCACTTGCTTCTTTCACTGCTTACACTTTCTCCTCTATGGGGCCAATGCTATGCTCTGAAAGGAGTATTCTCATGAAAACAACTTTGTTCAATTGGAAGGTACACTCCACCACTCATGGTAAGTTTCTTATCTTTCATCCCAGCCAAAAGCTTTTGCAGTTTTCTATCATGTTCAGCAACAGTCTTACCATGAACAACTAAATCATCAGCATGTTTACATCTGCATCAACATGTGCAATGACTTGTCTGATGATGTGTTCATATTTCTCAGGAGCTGCATTTACCTCAAAACTCAGCCTCTAATAATGAAACAAACGCTTGTATGTGAGAAAGGTAGTAATAGATATGCAATATGGATCCAGCTCTATCTGGTGAAAATCATGATGCAAATCTAGCGCGGAAAACTGAACTTCCATTACGCTCTTCCAAAACCTCGTCAACCATGAGTATAAGCAATCATTCTCTAACTATGAAGGGGTAAATTCCTAAAGAAACTGTGGTGCTGCATTGGTGGGAGAGTATAGCAGGCAATTTAGTGTTAACAACTGAGTTGAAAACGTATAGCCAGGGGTAAAAAAAAAAAAGGGTAAAAAAGCTGACGTTTCGAGCATTAGCCCTTCAACAGAGTGATAGATGAAGGGCTAATGCTCGAAATTTCAGCTTTTTTGTCCTTTACGGTGGCTAATTAACATTTTCAACTCAGTTGTTAACACTAAATTGCCCGCCATTCTCTAACTATAGCTTCATTTTCTTGCCTTATATCCACATAAAGTCTGATGTTGCTGTTAAGCTTGAGTGCTATGGCAACTGCACTTGCCCATGTTGTGAGGCCATCCACCCTCTCAATGATATCAGCTTCTAAAAGTTCCTCTATCATAGCTTCCACTTTTTCACATAGTGCAAATGGTATCCCCCTCACCTTTTGTGCCCATGGTGGTACATTTGGCCATACATGTAACTTCAATTTCAGCTTTCCAATTCCTATGAACACCTTAGGGTATTGAGCTTTCAGTGATTCAGCAAAGTCACTCTTTATCTCATTGCATTTATCACCCCCTGGACCAACTCTTGGCCCAATATGAAGGACACCAAGTTCCTGTTCAATAACATTTCCCAGAATGCAATACCCTTCCTTGACCACAAGGTTACTTCAATATTTCTAGCAGAAATTTCAGCTTCAGGTGGGCCAAAAAAATTAATTTTCTTTCCACCATATAGGCAAATGGTTTCTTTGGACAATGCTTAATGTCCCCATTAAAACCTGCAATCCTCAACCTCTTAAAATTTTCTTCCCTAATCAAGCTGCTTACAGATCCAGAATCAATCAAAATTTCCTGAGCAGCACCATTAATACTCACATTCATCATAATCTCACTTGAGGATATCGATGACACCCCACAAAAGCAAAGGCAGGGTATTCCTTACCACAACTGTTGCCCTCCAGATGATCTTCAACATGATTTGTCTGTCTTCCTGAATGCTTTTTGTTGTCACACACTTTCTTTCAATTGGCCTCTCTCCCTTTCTCAGTTGCTATGTAGCTGTGGTGTTTGCAGCATAAAGCAAAATGTCATACTTCAAGCACTTAGCGCATTTTCTCCCTTTTGCTAAACAACAAGGATCACAAGTTAAAGAAACTCAGAGTCACAGAGAATCGATGCGTCCTCTTTAATTCTTTAACTTATGTGTACTTAGCTCTGCTACCACAGCATTGAGCACTTTATGCCAAGGTAGACTCTACCCCCACATTCATTTATATTTATATTTATATATATATAAAGAGTAATTTTGACTTAAGTAAGACAGTGCTCAAAACATAGGAGTAAAGCGATGTATAAATTGCAGGAGGAAAAAGACAAAATGTTTGTTTCCTTCCATATATATATATATATATATATATATATATATATATATATATATATATATATATATATATATATAACATTATAATTATTCTGAAAGGTACAGAATCTCATCACATATGAGTCAAAACTTCAAGTTGTTGTTCCTTTGTAAGGAAATAGTGCATTTTGTCCACCTTACAAAATTAGCGAGTTTTGACCCTTGAAATGTGACACGTTCTCTTCTAATTTGTAGACTTATTTGAGTTGAGAAAACTGATCATTTGAATTCAATTTGACCAGAAATTCATTATTCATTACAGAACAATATTTTGTACTCAAAGTGATGTTGTATGACTGTGAATCAAGTTTTAAAGTAAACAACTTTATTAGCTATTCTTAATATGTTAAAATTGTTTTCCCTCTACTACATATACACATGGTGCTTTAAGAGCAGGTGGGGAACCAATTCAATATTGACGTAACATAACATATTTATTTGAGTAGGTTAGAATAGGGTAGCTAAAGGCTAATGTAGACCTACATACATTTGATTAAGAATATGATAATATGAAATAAAACTATTTATAGATGCACATGAAAAGTTCACAATTCATTCATTTGCAAGGTAGGCTCAAAACAATGTTAAAAATGCTGAAAGTCTTTGGATTTCATCATAACAATGGCAACTTCTTTGTTGAAAGAAAAGCCTCTGAGTCAGCTTTTGATTTTCTTATAGAAGCTTTGAAGCTATTTAAACTACTCAAAACATCAATCATTTTGTTTATATAATTCCATATGAGGGGTCCTCTTTACCTTATTAAGGAATTTCTTCTGACCTCAGACCTAGGTCTGGGTGTAAATATCTGATTTATAGCTCGTAGAGGTTTACCAGAGACTTTCTTCAAATACAGTTCATCAGGCCAAAAAGACAGGGAATTAAAATAAACCTTGTGCATGAATACAATATAAAATAAATAAGAGACAGAAGGCCACTGAGAATAAATGAAAATAATTCTCACTTCTCTCAAATGTGTCGATTCCAGAGAAGAAAAAAGGGCTGTAGAGCAGTTTCCCCAAATTAAAATACAATAAATTAGACTCGGAATTATTGTCTTGAAATAAATCTCTTGCAAAGTCTTTACAAGCAGGTACTTCATTTGTTTTGCTTCAACCCTTTGCACAAAAGACTTTCGAACTTGAGAAACATTCTCAGACCATGAAAGTCTACAATCAGACTGTGCCACACCCCAGTGAATAAGTGCACAATTCCAATAATTTGAAAAATATGTTTTATTATCATTGTTTATCATATGTTCTCTTTTAGCAAGATGATGATTTTATAAGTGATGATTACAGCACTAGTAAGCAAAATGACAGTAATACTGATGATGATGAAAATGTTAATGAAGAGGATGATGATGATGATGATGGTGATGACAAGGATGATGATGATGAAGATGAAGATGATGAGGAGGTTGACACAATAGGATCTTAATAAGAACTTTTTACATTGCTTTGTAAACATCATCACTCACCATGCTTACATGTATTAGATAAATCCATCTATTTGTTCACAAGTAATGAAATACTCCAATCCCCCTGCCAACCAAGAAAAATAAATATCTAGCCGACATTACTAACAGATAGCTAGGTATTAGAAATTCCACTCCAAGCCAAGGCTTTTATTTTTCATGATATTTAAAATAAAACCATGCTCTATGACTCATACATATAATTCATAAAGTCTTAATTTGTAGGTTTTGCAGATGTTCTCTTAACACAGTTTTTCATAAATAAAAATGAGTTGATAGTGGCCAATTTATTTTAGATGTTACCCATAGAGAGGAAAGCTAAAAAGCTCGATGAGAAAAAAGCCAAAGACAAGTAAGTATATTTACCTGTAGCTCAGACATTTTAACAAAGCTAGGGGCCAATGTTAACCATCCACTTCTGAGAGCAAAGTGTCTCTCACAAGAAAATTCAGCAGGGACTCATCAGACAAACCCAATTGTTTTTCCCACATGTGAACATCATTGATGATGAAAACTCCAACGCTCAAAACAGGCTACAGTTTATGTACAGTATATCTTGTATATGTGTGAACTCCTAAATACTTCTTTCCAGTTAGTCCTTTTTTTTACTAATTTTAATTGTTTGAATTCAACTTTTTCTTATTGGCTGTAACTTGATGTGACATGATTATCCTTTTTCATAAGGGCCTTAGCTGAAGAAGAGCTTATGACTAACATCACTGAAACTGAAGTGTTTGTGCTGCCAAGTGGACAGGAAATAGAGAAAGAAGGTATAAACAAGCCAATTACAACAATTTACTCTTCAGTGATTACAACATGTAAAATGTTAGATTGGATTGATTTTAAAAAATTGTAATCTAAAAAAATTGGAGTGAAATTTCTGCCTCACTTTTTTTTTCTTTTTAGTTATTCAAAACCACATTGTCATTACTTGTTAAACTTTATTTTCCTTTTGGTTATTCAAAACCACATTGTCATTACTTGTTAAACTTTTCTTTTCTTTTTGGTTATTCAAAACCACATTGTCATTACTTGGTTGTTCAAAACCACATTGTCATTACTTGGTAAACTTTCCTTTTCTTTTTGGTTATTCAAAACCACATTGTCATTACTTGGTAAACTTATCTTTTCTTTTTGGTTATTCAAAACCACATTGTCATTACTTGGTAAACTTTTCTTTTCTTTTTGGATATTCAAAACCACATTGTCATTACTTGGTAAACGTTATTTTCCTTTTGGATGGGACAAAGAAAAGATTTATCCTGCGCTCATGACGGGACAAAAAGCATCTTTCTCTATTTCTTTACCAAGTTAAAAACTTACTATCTCTCTAATTTCCATTTACGCACGTTATGCCATCAACATTGCTGATCCTAGCAGTATGTAGGACGTGTGTCATATGAACTTAATATTAGACCTGGCTCACCATGGAGTCTCTGTGGTTCAGTGGTAGAGCATCAGAGCATGAAATCTGAAGGTCTGAGGTTCAATTCCTCATGGGGACTCAGAATTTTTTCTTTGTCCCACACTCGTGACAAGACAAAAAAAATCTTTCTCTATTTCTTTACGGAGCCCAAAACTCACCATCTCTCTAATTTCTATCTTCAAACAATATGCCATCAACATTGCTGATCCTAGCAATATGCAGGACGCGTGTCATAAGAACTTCATAATAGACCTCGCTCACCATGGAGTCTCTGTGGCTCAGTGGTAGAGCATGAGAGTGCAGAATCTGAAAGTCTGAGGTTCTATTCCTTATGGGGACTCAGAATTTTTTCTTTGTCCCACACTCATAACAAGATGAAAAACATCTTTCTCTTATTCTAATGGTACTTTCTCTAATAGGATACTTGCATCACTTTCAATAAAAGTGTGTTTTGATTCTAAATTGGAGCAAAGGTTGATCTTGCAAATGTGATGGGAAATAAAGTGTATGGAAGTTCAAAGTGGAAATGGACTCTTATAGTAAATACTATTATTTTTGAGTAGAGTGATAAGCTCAGATTGAAGAAACTAGACTATAAAATCTATTATTATGTTTTAGTTTACATTTTGTGTTCAAATCTCTTACTTGGTTGGTTTTTCCACAATAGACAATGTCACTCCTGAGTGAGTTGTATTGATAGATGTATTATACATTCAATTTTATCTTTTTCCTCACAGCAAATGAACATACAGATTTAGCTTTGATCAATCAAAGAATCAGGGATAACATACAAGCACTCAACAACTTTAATACAACACGTGAACCTGGCAGGTAATAGACAGAGATTTCATCAATTCTTGGAATAAATTTCTTGGTTGAACACTCAACTTATATCAGCTCCAATTAAATCCAAGGAAGGGAAAACAACATGTGGGGGTTGAGAAGGGGAATGTGGGAAAACTTCTAATAGCACTCTATACTAATGGTGACTTTATTAAACTTTTTGAGAACTCAAAGGTGCCAGCTGTAAGGGAGGTCTGATTGATGTTTCATGTTAGCATACACTTGTGATGATGATCCCCATACCCAGAAGTAGTCTGCTTAAAGCTTGTTGAGGTTAACTTTGTTCAATTGTCCTTTGAGTTGTCTTTGAAAAATGGCCAGTTGACATTCATGTTAGTTTTTATTTTTTTTCAATGAAATGTTTTTGTATGATCCAAGTCAATACAACTTGATATACTATTAGACCAATTTTTAAACATATCATTCTGAATATAGGTAAGGAACTGTTTTTCAACCAGAAAAGCTGTTGCAGATTTTTAACTTTTTTTTACTCTCAGTTTTCAAGTAATTATATATCCTTCATTTATAGAAATGTTTACATTGCTCACCTACAGGTCACGACAGGAATATGTGGAACTACTTCTTAGTGACCTTTGTAAATACTATAGTTATGGAAAATTTCTGATGGAGAAATTTATGGACCTTTTCCCCATAAATGAGGTAACAGAGCTATAACTTCCTTGATTGAATCTAACTTTACCAGGTGGCATATTAAATACATTAATGATTTACAACCTGCAGTAAAATAAACATGTACAGGGAGGTTAGCAATAACAGTACTGTGGCCTCTAATTCAATATTATTGTGTTCTCACCTTCATCGCTCTACTTTGTGGTGTTTGACAGTTTTGTTAATTTGTGACAAGTTAGCTGGTGTAAAGTATAGTCTGTGTGGTGGTAGCTAGGAGCAAACCCTGAACATATTGATGACAGAGATCAGATACCTACTCATTATATTTTGATAAGCTATGACAGAGGAACAACCCACCCACCAGCCTGTTATTGAGCATGACCCTTATGCAGTCAGGCAAACATTTGAAATGTTGAAATCATATATTTAAAATATTTCAAAAAGGTTTAGGACTAACCTCATGCTAAAAGCTCTTGGTTTTAATATTTGTTGATGCCTTCTTAGTTGGTAGAATTCCTTGAGGCAAATGAAGTTCAGAGGCCCATCACTATTAGAACAAATACATTGAAGTCGAGAAGAAGAGATCTTGCACAGGTTGGTTAATTTAGTCAACAGGTTTAGTGGTAGATTTTTGCAGTTGACTGAAAGACAACTATATTCTTTATTTGAGTGTCACTGGAGGATCAGAGTTAGTATTGTTTATAGAAAAGGAACCAAATATATTACTGATATAATATGTCAAGTGGTCATGCAACTTTATTACATCCATTTTGAAATTACTGGTGATCCTTGCAATTTGATTGGTTCTCAGCAGTGCAATTTTTTTCTTGAATCACACAATTTTTTCTCTAAATTGGATCTTCTTTTTTCAAGCCAATGAGAAAGCAATGCTGAAACAAAACAATCAATACAACTTTCAAGATTTGTTAACTAAATGTTACTAAATCAAATTGCAGAGATAAGAATTAAAAAATCTGAAGTCATTGAGTGGCAAAATTTTGCTTCTTTTGTCACCAACATTTTTCTTGTTTTATGAAAAAATAGATGAACTTGCTTTCTGTATCTGCCTTTTTTAAAACCTTTCAACCCCTAAGAGTGCAAAGCATTTTATTTTCCCTTAAAATATTACCCCTGAACAAAGAAAATGATCATCAACTAAAGAAGCTCTTGATTGTTGAAAAAATTACCCTTGTCACTACCTTAGGAAACCTATGGATATCAGTATGGAGAATATGGATACTGACATTAGGGAGTAAAGGGTTTACAAACCAGATCAGTACTGTATCAATTAAATTGTGCTTTTTCAAATGGATGTTCAGTAATGAAGTGGTAATGGAACTTTGTGTTTTGCAATTTTGGTCTGCATCATACTGAGTCTTGTGATTTCAAATTAGGTCACTAGCAATTCAGTTTTGAAATCAAGCATTTAATTTTAGACCAAAGTGTACTCCACTCAGTTGAATTAGCATTTTTAACCATTACAATTATTTGTACAGTGCTCTTTCTGAATAACATATCAGAGGTAGTACTAGAATTGATATAAAATACTTATCACTTTTCATTTGTTTAACCCTCTAGGCCCTTATAAACCGTGGGGTAAATTTAGACCCAATTGGCAAATGGTCTAAGGTTGGACTTGTTGTCTATGACTCTTCTGTACCAATTGGTAAGGAATAAAATAGACACATAATTTTGATATAATTTTGATGATCAAAATTAATCCAAATTTTAATTATCAATTTAAGAAATTTTATTCTTCAATTTTTCTTGAGAGAAAGCTCTAAGTGAGCTATTCACAAAACTTCTAGTATCACAGGGACTGAAATTATTAATCAGATCTTTCAAACCTGCCTTAACATAAGCAGGAAAATGGTGCATATTTGAATAACTTGTTCAGAAAGTCAGACGCGTATCATTTTGAAACTTTCTTTCACATGTTATTGCAGAATGTCAATCTGAACACATAAATTTAAACTTTAGACAATTTTGTATTTCCTTGATTGTTTGGTAATCCCAAATTGGTCAACACTTGAAAGTGGCAAAATATTTCACAACTCAGTCTCACAAATCCAATATGCTGGTCAAGGAAAAATTCATTAAAATAATCAATCTTCAACATCACTTTACTATTACCATTTGTTTTCTGTAATTTTCCAGCAATCAATAGAGAAAGAAGTATTGTTTGAACTGTGTTGTATTTAAATCTCCAATTTCAAATTTTTTATTTTTTCAATGGTCAAAATCACAGCATACAATTTTTTTTTTTTTTTTTTTTTTTACTAAATACATATCAGTATATAACCTTTTTGTTTATTAAAACATCTTTTACGTAGGAGCCACCCCAGAATATCTAGCAGGACACTACATGTTGCAAGGGGCATCATCAATGCTCCCAGTTATGGCCTTGGCTCCTCAGGAGAAAGAACGGATATTAGACATGTGTGCAGCTCCTGGTGGCAAAACTACATACATAGGTAAAAGCTATGTTGCAGAGATAAAACTTAAGCTTATTACAACATTTAATTATTGATTTACATAATGAAATGTCAATTCAATGCTGAAAGAAAAATGTCCTTCATGATTTCATGAATTTTTCTCTTTATTTCTCTCTTTCTTTTTTCCATTTTCCATTTTTGGTTCTTTCAGCATCACTCCTAAAGAACACTGGACTGGTGGTTGCAAATGATGCTAAAAAGGAAAGAACAAAAGCTTTAGTTGCTAATATTCATAGATTAGGTGAGTTTGTAACAATTAACTTTAATTTGGACACAGTGCTTTGCATTAATCATACAACACATGTAGGACCAATGTGCTGATCAATCCAAAGCTTCAACATCCCCCCATCCCCTGGGGCATTTTCCCTCCAGGTCAAAATTTGTGTTCAAGTGCTCCACCCAACTTTTTGTGAAAGGCCCTGCACCCTGCCATGATCTTGGGCCAATATTTCTTAGTACGGCCCTTGTACTTGGTTAGTGAGAAGTTGATACTTAAGATTTCATTTCATCCACACAGAAAGGAACAGGAATCTGGTTACAAGTATTTTTGGAGAGGAATTTTTAACTAGCACCTTTGTGATCCTCCCTTAGAATGATGCCTTATCTTGTTACTACTTCATAGTTTGAACTTACTGTACAGTTATTTTAATTCATTTCTTTGTGAGACTTTTCAATATTGACCATTAATTTGTTTCCTTTTCTAGGAATAAGTAACACCTTGGTTTGTCATTATGATGGTCGAGCATTTCCAAAGGTATGTAGTATATGATTATGTAAAACTCTCAAGCCTCAATATTTTGCTAAGTCCTTTGCTTCACTTTTTAAGGTTGTAACTGACTCCACATGTCAAATCCTTTTGAGAATGGGGTCAAATCCTTGATTGGTGATAAAATAAAGGTGATAAAGTAAAGGTTTTGGCCTCAACTACAGTCATGGTCAGGCTTGTAGTTTTGATTATTGTTTAAACTACTGAGTTGATTCAGAACCTATAAAATTGAATAACCCAGTATTTAGATACCTGCTTATATGTGCTGGTGTTGTCTTTTTCTTTTTAAGCTCATTGTGGGGTTAGTTGGACATATCATTTATTTCTACAACTGAGTGAGGTGTGTCTCTTCCTCTGCTGTAGCTATACTCCCATAATTTTGGCATTCCTGATTAAACATTCTTCACTTTCAGGTAATGGCAGGTTTTGACCGTGTTCTTCTTGATGCCCCATGCAGTGGAACAGGAGTCATATCAAAGGATCAGTCTGTTAAAATCAATAAGGTTTGTCTTTCTCTATTAATAATTATTATTGATTGTATTTTATGTGTTAAGTTCACATAAACTGATTATTGGTACTTAAACAGATTTTTGTACTATTTCTTTCCATTTGGTCATGTTGCATAAAATGAGATAACTTTGGTTCTGTGTATGTGCCATTTTTTTCACATATATTGTAAGGAATAATGATAATAATAATAACAGTGATAACAATATCAATAATGAACAATTGTTTAAGAAATTGGAAGCAGACATGCATTACTTTCTCTTATACTCAAGGTAAATAATTTATTGATTCTTATTATTCTGTCAATGTACCAAAAAAATGGATCAGAATCTAAGTACTGAATAGCACACTTTTTGCAAATCACTTGAGAGCTAGTGAATCAGCATGTGCAAAAAGTGCTATACACCTTTGTGGTGTATACTGTTAACAAATATTTTAACGAGATTGGTTAACCCATTGGGTCTCAAAACACTGCTTTTATCAAGTTCCTGTAGATTAAACTAGTTGTCAACTAAGAGATGAAGAATGGGATAAGATAAAAACGCTTAAAAGAATTCTTCATTTGCTTCCAAAAGTTCATTAATACTTTCTTGAATTAAAGTTCAAGTTCAGTTCAGAGTTCATTGAAATTGTGGCTCCTTGATGTTATCACCTTAAAAAAAATATATATTAAACCCTTAGCCTGTTTTTTAAAATAAGTTTTTTCTGTGTTTTGTTATTTAGACTGAGAAAGATATTCATCGGTGTTCTCATATTCAGAAAGAACTCATTCTGTCTGCTATTGATGCTACAGATGCTAAGTCATCAAGTGGTGGATATATTGTTTACTCCACCTGTTCTGTTTTGGTAAGTGTTCATTGCACTGCTTAATAACTCAGCCATTTCAAACAGAAGTTTATTTGGCAGTCATGAGTTGTGCTTTTGTATCAGTTAGACACTTAGAAATGTCTAAAGAGAGCTTTTTGCTAAGACCTTAATAGCAGAGCTTGCAGAGCGTAGCCCCATAATTATACAAAATAGTAGTAACCCATCAAGCCAAAAAAATTTGGATGTACAACCCTATGACCGTACAATCATTCAAGGTGCTACTTTAGACATGCGTGGTCAAATGTACCACACCAACGCCATGGCTTTATCCAGTAGTCCAGTGGTCAGTGCACTGGCCGGGGCAAGGCATTGTGCCCTTGAGACATACAGGAAAAAAAAAAATGCGAGCTCTGCTTTTAGGCTTGGCTAAATCTACATATTATAGTTGACTGTCAACTAGAAGCCGTCTATAATATTCATTACTCCTACACTATTCAAATTCTACATCAAGAAAATTATTATGAACCTTTGATTGACTAAGTTATCAGTTGAAATCTCTAGGTTAGTAGAGGTTGTATTTTTTTGTTTTGGCTTTATGGATCAGTGTATTGTCTTTGCCCTTCATAATAACTCAGCCATTTTTAACAGAAGTATTCTGGGCAGTCGTTAGTTGTGCCTTTGTTTCAATTAGACAGTTAATAATGTCTAAAGAGAGTTCTGTGCTGAGATCATAAAATAATTGACTGTCAACTAAAAGTTAATAAATATGGATGATTGTTCATCACCAACTTGAAGGTGGTCACCTGTCAAGGTGAAAGGGCTAATGCTTGAAAATTCCATAATGCTCAATATTCACTCTCCTTCATCGTTCAAATTCTATATCCAGGCATTAACTGAGAACCTTTGATTGACTTAGTTACCAAATGAATGTTGAAATCACTAGGTTAGTAAAGGGTATATTAGTTTGCAATAGCTGGGGGGATCAGTATGTTTCATAGTCTCAAATAGACTAAAAATGTTGCTCCATAGGTCTTTAACCAATTACAGTTGTACCAATATTATATATGTTATGATATTTCAACAATAATGATCATTTTCAACAGGTAGAAGAAAATGAGGCTGTGATTGATTATGCTCTCAGCAAAAGACACGTAAAACTGGTATCCACTGGGTTGGACTTTGGCCAAGAAGGATTTTCAAAGTAAAATCAACTTGAAATTCTTTTGTCTTAAGTTATTGAAATTAATACTGTACTAGCAGGTATGGAGCTGTTTGATGTGACAATCTTGTTTTCTAGAACTAAGACTAAGATTTAAACAGAGAGATCATGGTTTGGGCTTGTCATTTGTCTCCCACAAAGTGGGTAGACCAGAAAGAAACCCTGGGATAAATTTAGGGTGTAGACTCAGCACTTATCACACAGCTAATCACAGAACTGGTAACTTTGAAATGAAGTGACAAAACTGTGGCAATGGACTTTGCATGGTTCAAGTGAGTTCAAAGTAGAGTAGATCATATACGGCTTCACTCCATTTCATTTGACAAAAATTAATGGAATTTGGCAGTAACATTGTTTTCCAAAGTAATTAAATTTGCACAAATAAGGACCCCCTATTTTGTCAGCCAACTGTCAAGTTGGCAAGGTTGCCAACAGGTCACCAACTGTCAGCCAACTGTTGGCAAAAACTTTTGTCTGAAACATAACAAAAGCTGTCGGCAGACTGTTGGCCAACTGTCAGCCGATTACTGGCCAACTGTCGGCCAATTACTGGCCAACTGTCGACTGATTACTGGCCAACTGTTGGCCGACAGACAGCTTACAGTCAGCTGATAGCTGGCCAACAATATTTTTCAAAACTGTCCTTCACTTTTACCCAAAATTGTATTACACTCAGAAAACAATTTCTAAATCATAGAACCCCTTCACTGACCAGGGTTTTTAGTAACTGTTAAAAAAAAAAACAGAAAAAGAAAGAAAAAAACAGAAAAAGAAACAGCAAGTCAGTAGACCACAGTGACATCCTCTTGAGTTCCAGATTATTATTTTAGCAGTTCTCGTTAGCTTGCAGCTGGTGTCCCTGGCCACACAACTTTTGTTTCATCTTTACCTTAACCACAAATTTTCACTCCGTGACATTATACCAACCCAAGTATAACAAGTAGAAGTAGTTTGACTGATGCTTGGTTATTACAATTTCTTTCCTAGGTTCAGGGGAAAACATTTCCATCCTTCCTTAAAATTGAGCAAGAGATTTTTCCCTCACACTCACAACATGGATGGATTTTATGTTGCCAAGTTGAAAAAATATTCCAACAAAATTTCTCCTCAAGGTAAAAAGTGACTTTCAATTGCCTCTGTGAAATGTTATCACGAGAATTGTAGTAATTAAGTACACCTTAATAAGGTCCCTTAAATAAAATTAATCAAATTTTCAGATTTGAATAAAGACTTCTGTCAAATTCAGTAGTGCCCATCAGCAAGCAACAATCAAACACATTTAGATGGAATTCATTGCTGGTTTCATGTAATTGGTTTGATTACCTGTAGTTTTGTTGTAGTGACTCCAGGACACAAGATTTGCTTTATCCTAAATTTAATCATTGTTAGGAAGTAGCTGTCATCAAGGGGGGATTAGTTTTTTTATAGCTTTGCAGTTTCTTTGATTATCAACCATCTTTTCAAGTAGTCTAATCTTTTAACACACCAATCACAATCAACTTATGCCATGAGTCTATTAGCCAATGACATCACGGCTTAATTGACCAATTCTTTCTTTCTTTTTTTTTTTTTTAATATATGAACTGGACTAAACACATTCAATTGACAACAACTATTCACTTGACTCTAATGATGACTTCCACCCAGGTTGTGGAAATGTCAATCACGACTACCGACAACAGTGCTTCTCAGGACTACACTTACCTATACAATCAAACTACACTATCACATGTTTCCCCAGATTCAAATCATTTACTGTAATACCACAGTCAATTTCCAACCCAACTTATGAATTGGCTACTCCATGTCACAACCTGTCCATGTTACTGTTGATGGGAACTTCCCCAGAAGTCAATAATAATTGTAATCTATGTCTTTGTCAGGAGAAATTTCCAGCAAAGTAGGGAATAAGAAAGATTAACCAAAAAAGGAATCGCCTCACCAAGAAAATCAAGAAATTGATCTGGGAACTATACAAACTGCCACAGGAAACTCAGAGGATAACTAGAAGTTTCAAGATCAAGAATGCTGCCCAGAACACTCGATACACAAATGTCACAACCAATAAAAAACACTGATTACATGTGGCTTTCAACTTAAATAGGGAGGCACCATAAAGGGAAAAAACAGTCTTCAATAGACTTGCTTCCTCATCCTCATAGCACCTTGTGCAGTGTTCACAGCCAGGACAAATACCTGCTTGTGGTCAAGTTGCAGTTTTTTCAGACCCTTGTTTGATACAGCATTCTTACAAAGACTTGCAAACTTAACAGTAACATATAGGCCAACAATCTATTATCTTTTTCAAATTTTATTTATAGTTATTATAAAAAAATATACTTAGTACAATACAAGTTAGTAGCATACAACCTACACTGAATGTCACATGCTGCTCTACAAAATACATTAATTGTCTCTACAATAAGCATCACTTCCTCCATTAATAGGTTTAGGCAATTTGGCTAGAAACTTCTAGTTCATTCTTTAGGTAACTTAGAGCATATAAAGGATATGTGAAGCCTTTAAAGCATGTGGTTGATGTCAATTGCAGACAAGAACTAATTGGAACCTGTGCTTATTATTCAAGTGTAACTTGTTGATGAAAGCAGGTATTTATTGTGATATTGCTTGCAAATCCCTGACACCATATACAAGGTTATAAGTCCACCTTTACTTAGATTTTAAGATTCATTAAATAAAACGTTATTTGAATACCTCTCAAAGGCATGTTCTAATCATGGAAAAAATTCCACACACAACTATCTCCATTTCACTACAAAATACCTTGTTTTTATCAGTTGTCTTAAGTATCAGAAAATATGAGATATTAAGCATTTATAATAGTGTTTTTGTCTTGTCTTTCAGAAGCTCAATACTACAAACTGAAGTAAACATATTTTCCTCTCCAGTCAAATCAAACAAAGCATGACTTACAAACCTTCTAAACATAACCAGATAAAATTTTTACTAGTCCTAGCGCACAATAGTTACAAAAAAAATTGTAAACACTAACAGAGAAGCTTGCAGGCAAATCAAGTAAAGGATACAGAAGAACTTTAATTTGACTTTCAATAGATCATAAGTTGAAATAAATAACTATTTACAAGGGAGTTTCACAGTCAACAATACCATTTGAAAAAAGCTGATCTCAGTTATTTTTAATCACGAAATGATCATCAAAACAAAAGCCAACAAGTGAAATGGTTAAAAACCTATTAAATTCAACATAGTTCTTGTAGTTTGAGTAGTGTTCACAGTCTTTTATGATACAGTGAGTATTTAATTTGCATTCACGTTTATATTAGTTTGAAATGTACTGTACAGATTATTCATTTGCTACCTCATACAAAGGTAACATTCATGCCAAGGTACAGTAATTGTCTGTTCATTAAATAGGCTAAATACAGTTTGGTGCTTTGTCAAGTTAAAACAAGCCAATAAACAGCAAATGAGTAACTTTTAATGACTCCAACAGGTTCATTGTGGCTCTTTTGTTTACACATCAATGTGATGTTGAATCAACAGCAATCAACATTTAATTTAAAATGGCGTATCTGAGTTTATCCCTGAGCACTAATAACTTCAATGATTATTTTTTTTCCCTTGTGTCTCTTTGGGTAGGATTAAGCAAATCTTGTGTTCTAATTGATCACCCAAACAGGCAAGTCCTTTCTACTCAGGATTGTCTACTTTTATCCTACAAATAAAGTGCTTGTAGGTGTTTATACATACTTCTCAGCAACTCTTTTTTGTAAAAAGAAAGAAAAATTAAGGCAGTGTTGGCAAAAACAGAGTCACAAACACACATTTCTGTTAAGTCATAACCATGCTTTTAAAATATTGTGGATGGCTATGATTCAGTGAAGCATGTACATGTACCAAAGCCACATTAAACAGCAGTAAAAAGAATTACTGCCATCAACCTGCCAGTTGTATGGCACCTGCCTTCTTAAAGTTCTCACTTAAAACTGCTTGTTGGACATTTTGTAACCTGGATTCTTGTTCCTCGTGTTCAAGGTCTTCCTCATCTTCACCAGTACAAGTCAGAATACACAATCTATACACCAGCAGACTCAAAGCAATGGCATTCTTACATGTGAAGAAAATATGCATCTCACTGTATACTTGGTAATTGATTATCAATAGTAGTCGCAGGATCAAAAATGGTCCATCTTGCATGAAGATGCCAGTCAGGATGCCAAATATGTCACCATGAAGCAGCATTTCTCGCCGAGAGATCTCTTTTACCTCTCCCCTGGCAGTTGTAATTGGGTAAATTTTCTTTTCCTTCTTTTCACCTTTGTATCCCTTTCCACGCAAGACATTCATTTCTGTCTGGCGACGTTTCATCTGTAATCTCTGAATGTATCTCTCCTTGAGATCTTCTTGTTTTTCATACCTATGGAGACTTATTTTCCTGTTTATGACATCATCAGGTGAAACCTGGAAACAATTTTTTTGACATGGTTGTGATAAGTGTTCCAAATAATAGTACACACATAAACATAATAGATAATTTGGTTTTACCAAGTGAGCTGATAAAGTAAATTTGCCACCTTTAGGAACTGATGTTTTGAGCATTAGCTCTTAAAGGGCATGAAGAAGTGCAAACACTCAAAACAGCAGCTTTAGAAACACTTTACAATGGCAAAATTACATTATCAACTCAGTGGATAAAAAGAACATTTTCTTGCCACACCCCCTACCAATGCAGAATCAAAGTATCTTTTAAAAACTTACTCCCTTCATTTAGATACACATACTACCTGCAAAGTTTAATTCAAATTCCAAAGTTCAAAGGATTTTAATCAAAACTGATAGAATACAAACTATAATAACAATAAACCATATTCTTAGCTTGTATTCCGAATGTTGTTCCTTTTAGCAATTGATGGAATAAATTATGTTTGAAATGACAAGCAACTAAAGACAAATACTCTATGAACCCTAATCTGATTGTGAGTTATTTCTTTTCTGTTCCTAATTTTGCTTCTCCCTTCACTGTGATGATGTGATGTTGAATGAATAAATTTTCAGTAACAGGATGCTGCACTCTTGTAATATCTAACCTTAAAAAGAGGAGTGCTGTGACATGTTTTGTTGGTCGTGCTGGAAGGTCAAAATTACATGTTTTTACCAAAGTCCAAGCAAAGTTTGTCCCAGACTGTTATTTTCAAAGAAAGAGATTTGCAAAATAAGGTATACCGGTACACTTGAAATCTTAACTTTTAAGGAAACTTTGACTGAGCAATCGGGTCAATCTAGTTTTCCACAGCAAAACAATCTGCCTTTGAATAAACAATAACCTTTTTGTACCTCAGTTCTAGAAATTTATTTTCCAACTACATGTCAATGACTAAAGAGTTTTAGCTACCAAGTCCTGGGCTATGATCCCCTGGATGTTATGCATGCTTGAAAGTGTGTCAAATTAAATATTATATGGAAAGTTTGTTTACTGGCAGCCAAGAGGTAAGAACAAACACATTGTATTCCTGAGATAACTGATGGAAATTATTTCAGGACTGAATTAACTATGTTATTACATTTTCACTTCAAACCCTCCCTGATGTTGAGTGCACAGTCAACCCACCTTGTTGTTTGTGATCCTTATCTGGTTGTTCTTTCCAGTTGTGGCTGTGGTGACAAGACAAAACTGTAACAAGCTCCATGTATACACACCTAGCACTGCAAATGTCACTGACTCCTCTGCTTGAACAACATCTTCTTGAAGGACTTCAAATAATTCAAGAATGTCTGCTGCAGTGCCAACATAACCCAATAAAAGAGCTGACAGCTGGTCACGGGTAATCTCACCTCTTGGTAGAAGCCATCTTCCAATGATTATTCCAATGATCAGACCCAATTCACATATCTGTTTGGCTAGTGTTGATGTACCCACATTTCCAAGACACTGCAAATTAAAAAATTACCATACTTATAAAATAAACACTTGAAAGAAAGGGACATGTTATTTTTCACAAATTTTCTTCACACAACATTCAGAGAATGGGTACATTTAATGACATTAACTGTATTTTCTCTCAATTAAAGCAGCTGTGAAGGCAGAGAATGGAGGTTTTCAGCTAGAAAAGCAAGCTAGCATGACCAGCAGGCAAAGAGAACAGAGACCAAAAAGCTAAATTTGTGTTTGAGTACAAGCACAGCAAAAGCCATTCATTGTAAGGATCTGGGAAGGAATGCCTGCGAGAGAATACAGCTCTAAAACTGTTTTCTTCATGATTCTCACTTAGTAGTAAAATGTATGGCTGAAAGAAAACAAATGCACATCCAATTTGAATTGCAATTACATTATGCAGTTGTCACAGAATGAGTAAAATTTCACTTTTTTAGACCCCTTCTTCCCC